TCTAGTTAGAGCGTCAATATGCATAGAATGTGCATATTTTAGCTACAAAATCAGGGTGGGAGAAGAAACTGGACATCAACAAGAGGAAGCAAGAACACACAAAATAGGTTAAAAGGATGCCACATATAAAGTCATGAAATATGACTGACTCCTTAGCACGCTGAAGGCAAATGCACAGGTCCTACCTCAGGTCCCCTGAGTCAGAATCCTCAGGAGTAGATGCTGGGCATCTGTATGCCTAACCAACATCAAATCATTATGATTCACAATAAAGCTGAAGAGCTCTGACTTAGTTGATTTTTTTTTTTTTTTAAGAGACAGAGTCTCACTCTGTCACCCAGGCTGGAGTGCAGTGGCACAACCATAGCTCACTATAGCCTCCAACTCCTAGGCTCAAACGATCCTTCTGTGTCAGCCTCCTAAGCAGCTGGGACCACAGGCATGTGCCACCATGCCTGGCTAATTTTTTTTTTTTGTGGGATGGAGTCTCACCATGTTGCCCAGGCTGGTCTCAAACTCCTGGGCTCAAGCAGTCCTTCCACCTCAGCCTCCCAAAGTGCTGGGATTACAGGCATCAGCCTCTGTGTCCAGCCCCTAAATTAATTTTTAAAATACCTGAAATCCTGTAAAGTAGACCAAATACACAGATTCCAAAATTATATCAAGAGTTCCTGAAGAGGTCTTATAAAATTGATAAAAATGAATTTAAACTTTTTAAATGAAATGATAAAAATGATTTACTCATTGGATAAATCAGCTTTTAAGTAAAAAGTTTTGTATCTAAATGGGCGGCCTGCTCTTCCCACCCTGCTCCATTCTCTCCACTCCCCTGTCTGAGCCATGGGGCCCAGCCATCCTGGGCCATCCAGAGGCCTCGGTGAACCCCAAGGAGCAATAGGCAAGGGCAAGTATGTGCAGAGCTTGCAGCCACAGGTAGAGCTGGAACTGGGACCGGAGTCTTCAGAGCTTAATTTGGGGCTGAGGTGAGGCCTTAGATAAAGCCAGGGCCAGGGTCATTTTAGAGCCAACGCCCAGCCTGGGACACTCAGCCTCAGCTCCTGGGTCTGTGGAGAGATGGGCAAGACCCCTCCCGGTGCCTCAGGAAGCTTCCCAGCGGAGGCGGCAGATTCCACGGGCACTCCCTCAGGGCTGGCCTGGAGCTCACACCTGTCTGCCCAGGCCTGGGGCCAGCAGGCCAGGGTGAGTGCAGCCTGGGAGCGAGGAAAAGATGGAGTCTGAGGAAGGCATGAGGCTAGGATGACCTTACCTGGTTCAGTGAAGTTCCCCATGGCAGCCATCACTGGCCCCTTCTGCTCCTTGGGGATCATCCTGTGGAGGAGAGACCCCCATAAATGGACCAGCCTGCCTCCATTTCTCCCCAGACCTCCTTCCAGTCCCTGGTTCACCTTGCCCCGGTCCTGAACAGCTTTAGACCAGCCCAAAATCACAAGCAAGGGATATCTGAGCTGGAAGAGCCTTCAGGGTCTCTGTGCAGAGGAGACTGGGGCCCAGGGAATGAGAGGGAGGTGCTCAAGTTTGCACAGATCTATTTTCGTGTTGCTAGGGAAGCACTGTCTCTCAAGGGTGGTTTCTAGGGGCTTTTCCCAGCTCAGGCATCCTGATCAGAGGGAGAGTAGGTGCCAGGGGCATCCAGGTGGGGCAGGCAAAGGTCTCAGACTACTGTCATCTGTTGACCCAGGAGAGTCCTATTCCACGACTGAAAGAGGTTGGAGGTTTAAGTTAGAGGAGAGGAAGCATGGGCTAGGCTGGGGCTGCAATGGGGTCTGTGAGGCTGGTGTGCCCCTCTCATCCCTGGCACTTGGCCCTGAGGCTTGAGGGCACAGGCTGGTCCAACCAAGCAGAGAGAACCATCCCCCATCTCCCCATCTCCCCATCTCCCCATCTCCCCATTACTGGGCTAACTTCTGTGGTGTTCTTTTCTCCCTCATCCCTTCTCTCCCTCCTATTCCATCCCGCGATTTGTATCTCATGGCACTTTCAAGGAATCTTGGAAGAGATCTGCAAATAAAATGAGGTCCAAAGCCCTTAACTTGCTCTCTGGAGAAGAGGCAGAGCCCTTGAGCTCCTTGACTGACCACCCAGCCTGGTACCCTTCTCCTTTCCCTCCGGATTTTTCTATACTCCTTCCTTTAGAAAACAATCTGCCTTCATCTGTATCCCCAACACCCACAAGGGGCCCTCGGTCTGTGGGCACTCATTGTGCAACTGGAGTCTAGTGGGTGTCCCTGACTTTCTCTGTAACTGCAAACAAGTAGCTCTGCAGCTCTGCACCTCAGTTCCCCCTTCTGTAACATTAGGGGGCTAGGCTAAATCACGGAGATACATGGATGGGCTTTAGGGTGTTCACAATCCCCCTAAAACTGTAGGTAAACATGAGTGTGTCTACATGCATTTGGGGATGAGGGTCATGGGATGACTGAGAATGCCTCGATCATGACCGTTTAGGATTCCACAGTCCACAGATCTGTTTCTTGATAAACACTCCCTTTACAGAAATTCACAGACGCTGGGAAGGGTCTCTCATTTTACAGACAGAGAAGCTGCTTCCCTCTACTGCGTAAAAATCCCAAAGTCCTGAGCAGAGCCATTACCTATTCCCCACCTTTAATCCTAGCCACACCCTCCCCATTTAATGCAGGGTAACCTAGAGCTTAGAGTTCCTCTCCTCCCAAACCAGGATCTAGGCTTTCATGGGGTTCCAAACTCCCTAGATCTACTGCAGGGCCCTTCCTCTCCTGGAGAAGGAGCTCTGGGGATTGGCTCATCTTCTCTGCCCACTCCCCCGAGTTCCCCAAGCTCCCCTAGGATGCTGGTACCTGAGAGAGTGGGACCACAGTGGGCAGGAGGGAATCTTAGACCCCCAAGATTAACACCTCTGTCGGGAAGCTGAGAGTTGCGTGGTGTCCCTGTAGGCAGTCAGCAGTCAGCAGTCAGTAGGCAGCGAGCAGGGTGTCCCCTGCAGCCAGCTCTGGCTTCAGCTGATGAGAATCATTCCTGCCTTGCCATGGGTCACAGCCTTATTTCGGGCTGCAATAGGAGCTGGAGCCAGATGCTAAAAGCACCAGACCCTAGGGAAGACAGGTGCCCTGGCAACAGGCCTTTGCCGACAGAGGGCTTGCACCCACGTGTACACACACGCTCACATATGCATGCACCAAAGTCACCTGGAAATGTTGAGGGTCAGCTGCTGGTAGCTTCCGCTTGTTAACTGTTAAATCCTTAGTGCCAAGAATGGTGCCTGACAGGAACTCAGTAGATATTTGCCAGGTGAATGAATGGATGGATAGATAGATGGATGGATGAATGAATTGCTCCTCAGTATCTTTGCTTGACTTATCCTTTTCTTCCTTCCTTTTTTCTCTCCTGCCTTTCTTCTTCTGTCTCCTTCCTGCCTGCCTTCTTTTCTCCCTTCCTCCCTCCCTCCCTCTACCTTCTCACATTCCCTGAGCCTCTCTCTAAGGACTGAAAATAAATAAGGCAGGGCTCTGTCTTCAAGGAGCTCAGCCAGGTCAGATTCAGATGGGTAAACAAGCTTTGGGGAAGGCTCTAAGAGAGCCCAGGGGAGGGAGTTACCAGCTCAGTCTAGGGTAGGGGGTGAGAAGGCTTCCCAGAGGAGGACACACTGGAGTTGGGCCTTGAAGGATGAGTGGGAGTTCACTGGGCAGAGAAGGGGCATGGCAGGCAGTGGACATGTCACTTATAAAGATGGTAGGGGGTTGGCAAGTAGAGCCATTGCTGAGGGCAGTGCTGAGAGATTAGCACTGTGTTTATAAAGGGTTGCTGACGAGATCAAAGTGGTGAAATGGAGTGATCAGATTGGCATTTTCCAAAGATATCTTTGCTGCCATGTGGGAAATGGGTTGGAGGGGGACAGACTGGAGGCACGAGGATCTGTCACCAGGGGTGGCTGGATCAGAGCAGTGACAAGGGGATGGAGAGGAGAGGGAGTTGAAGGGTATTTGAAGAACTCTCAGGTCTTGGTGAGGAATTGGATGTGGGAGGTGAGGAAAGGGAGTCCCACTCCCCTGTTTCATGCTTGGGTGACTGGAAGAGGAGGAGCAGGTGGGGTAGCGGTAGACACTGAGGTCAATTTTGGATGAACTTTGTTTGAGGTGTCAGGGGACTGGGATGAGATCACCAGTAGGCAGTGGGACACCGTGCTGTGGTGGGGCCCCAGCCGAAGATAAAGATTGGGTCCAAGGCACACACCACTCCTGGGGAATGGTGGGTCTAGCAAGGATGGACTGGGCACAGGGTGGGGAGCGCCTGTGTCTGTATGCTGGCAGACCATCCTGGGGCGTATTTCTGACACCCTCTCAAATCAGAAGCCTGGGTTCTGCTGTCCACCGCCCTGACCTTAGCTTCCCAGCCCTCGGTGGGCCTGAGCTTCTAGAGAGGAAGAGTGAGATGTGTTCCTAGGGCAAGCTTAGCCTCACCTGGGAACAGGACCACAATCCCCTTCTCTGGCCAAAGGACGCTCCTGTCAGGAGACGATGCCTCATGGCCTGAGTCCTTGCTTAACTGGGGCTTCCTGGCTCAGATGGGACCTCTTACAGTGGCTCCTTTCCTGCCCTGGCACCCCCACCTGCCATGAGGAAACAGCCCCAGAGCACAGAGCCCTGACCCAGCTTGGCCCTGCCCACTCTGGTGACAGTGCTGTGTGGTCAGAGCCTGGACAGTACTGCCTGAGACATTACCTAGACCAATTCTCCCCTTTATATGGATGGGGAAACTGAGGCCTGGAGAAGGAGTGGGCTCACCCAGGGTCACCTTGCTCATCCATGACAGGACCAGGACTTCAACCCAGGAACTTCTATGGCCTCAAGTTGTCCGTTGTTCCCATCTCTCCCCATGGCTGCTTCTTCCCAAGCTCCCATCCCATGTATCTCAAATATTCCCAACCACCCCGAGTCCCATGGACTGCTCCATGCTTGGGGAGAAGGGAAGGGCATCAGACACAGCTGAAAATGACACAGGAGGCAGAAGAATGCAGGAAGCATTTATTGAGGGCCAGAGCTGAATTCTACAAGAGGCAAGAGGCAGGACACAGGCAAGCTCTAGTGGGTTAGAGGAGAGGTTGGGGAGAAGGCAGTGACAATGAGAGAACAGCCAGGGGCTGGCTTGGGAACTGCGGGTTTCTCAAGGCTGCCTCCTGCTAGTCCTTTGGGAAATGCAGGTAGAAGTGGATCCTCTATGCAACTGCCTCAGCCAGAGGCCTGATGGTGTCCCTTCTCTGGGAGGGGCCCTTAGCCCCAATCTCCTGCACTACAAGGGACCCAGCAGCAGGTGGGGGCTTTGGTAAATATAGTCACTCATCATTAACTGAGTAAGAGCCCCTTCTCATCTTCACACCAGCAGGAGCTGTGTCCTCATTCCTGAGGCCCAAGGAGCACTCCAAGGTCACACTTTCATTCCAAAGCACCCCGTCCCAACCCTATCTTTCATACTGACTTTAACTCTCTCCAGCCTCACTTGGGGGTTCTAGATCTAACACCACCCTGACGGGTGAGTAAGTCCTAAACCCATACTCTCCATCACCTTTAGCAACATCCTGCTATCCTTTCACCTACATACATTTGATCCTCAGCCAATTCCATCCCCTCAGCTGATCCTGAAGCTAATATTCTGAACCTCTAGAAGGCTCTACCAGCCAACTCTGGAAACTACAGAACTCAGCCATATTCCTCCCTGAGTCCCACCTGGGGACTGGAATCAGAGCCACCAAGGTTTAGGGAATCAGTGAGGGCCTACAGCCAGGCTCCCCCAGGTCACTGGACACCAGGCACCAGCTAGGTCAGAGTGCACTGGGGAAGGGATGCGGCAGGATAATGTCTACTTTTCTGGGCATGATACGGACACTGGGACTGAGGTCTGACACTGAAGAAGGGGACATTTCCAAGGGGGCCAGAAATACAGGCAGACCCTAACCTAGCAGCCTGCTCATGTACCCAAGCTCATCGGCCCCTAAATTCAAGCCCAACTAGCCCACCACCAGCACCCACCCCCCACTTCCTAATACCATGGAATGCATTTCAAGACTGGAAGAGACCTCAGGGGTCATCTGAGCCAATCCTGTCCCCTGCTAGAATCTCCTCTATGCATCCTGGCCATGCTTTTCATATTTCCCGTAACAAGTAACTCCTTGTCTCTCTCTTTCCCAATAAGCACCCCAAACTGAGGGCAATCAGGTAAAGTCACATGGTAGCTCTGTACCTCTTCTCTCCCCAGTTCAGCTTTGAGCCCAGAACCTGCCATGAATGGGCCCAGAAGGAACAGATGAGCTGGAGGCCCAAGTCCTGGGCCTAAGGGAAATCACTGCCTTATAGTTCTCTTGTGGCTGCAGGTAAGATGTCCTGGACAGTCTGAACCAGGGTGGAGAAAGTAGCATGACAGGGACCCAGGGAGAATTTTCCTGCCTCTTCTCTCCAGAGGGTATAGTGGAACACCTTGAGCTGGCCTGGGAGGCCTCTCTAAAGGTCATTGTGATAAAAATAGTGCTTGTCTGGGAAGGGATGGAAAACAGCTGCTCCTGCCTAGGACTTGGTGCCAGGGAGCCGGATGGTCAGGCCAGTGTCTGGACATGGGACATAGGCCTAGGATCTTCCCAACACACTGCACTTGCCAGACTTCAGAGAGCACAGCCAGGAGGGGAGGGAGGAGTATGGAACCCCAAAGGCAGCAAGTCCAGGGGTCCATATACACACTGCCCTGCTTCATCCAAGGCACTAACGTGTATGTGTGTGTGTGTGTGTGTGTGTGTGTGAGAGAGAGAGAGAGAGAGAGAGAGAGTGTATTGATGGGAAGGGGAATTTTGACGTTTGTGGATTGTCTTGGCCAAAGCCACCATTAAACAGATGGGAAAGCTGAGGGTCAAACAAGGAAGAGTCTTACCCAGGGTCACACAACAGCTGAATGACAGCAAGGGCTAGAACTCAAGCTTGCGTCCCTAACCCATCCCCAAGCCCAGAGCTCTCCTCTGCTGACCCCTCAGCTCTGGGGCTGCCCAAAGAGGCCAGACCCTTTGGGTTCCCCAGGTCTGATGAGCCTTCTTCTGGCTCTGTCCTCCCGGGGTGGGGCCGGGGGTGGGGCTCTAGGTGGTGCAGGAGGCCTCGGCGGGGAGGCTGCCACGCTTCAGCCGAAGGCTGCCGTTCCACCCGCGGGGACAGATATTGTAGCCGAGGATGCCGGGAGACTTAGCCCCGGAGTCCTCGGAGTCGAGGGACACGTCGGAGTCCGTGGGCGAGCGGCGGTAGAGGAAGGGCCTGGGAGGCGCGGGCAGTGGGCTCCGGGGACTGGTGCAGGACGACGGCCCGGCGGGAAGCGGGCTCCGCGGGATGGGCGCGAAGGCTGCCCCCAGCATAGCAGCCGAGCCGGGGCGGGCGGGCTGTGGCGAGCGCATGCGCGGGGGCGGCGGCGGCGGTGCCCTTGGCGGGGAGAAGGGCCGCAGGCTCTCGGCGCCCGCCGACCGCGGAGAGGCACTCTTGCGCCGGGCCGCGTTGATGATGTTTCGCGCCAGAAGCGCCTGCAGCTGGCGGCTGGGGGGCCGCGCCTCGGTCTCCGGTCGCAGCGGGGACACTGAGCGCTCGCTCCACGAGGGAGACATGGGCGGCGGTGGCGGCAGCGGCGGGGGGCTGCTCATGCTGCTCCCGCGGCTTGGCTCCCACGGCCCCGGGCTTACCCAGCCGTCTAGGCTGCTGGGGGGCCGGGACGCGCCCGGCGTCCAGGGAGGGGAGGTGGGCAGGCTCTCCCGGCGGTCCTGGGGAGAGAGCAGAGAGGGTGGGGCAATCATTAGTGCTGGGTTCCTCCACACCGGGCTTTAGGAAGGGACGGAGTCCGATTTGTCTATTACACCGAGAAGGGAAACCACCGATCCAAGTCAGGTAGTACCTGCAATAAAACGCAGGCGCCCAAACTCAGCCCAGAACGCTTGAAGAGCCCCCGCTGTCTTGTGTCTGCTCCCGTGTTAAGACTCGCTTTGGAGAGAGACGCCTTAACTTACTAACTGAGCTTGGGCAAGTTCCTTCACCCCTCTGGGCTTCAGTTTCTGCTTCTGTAAAATGGGGTGTAACAACAGTACTTAATCCTATAGGGTTGTTGTGAGGGTTAAATGAGATAACTGATGGAAAAGAACATTACATATATCGGCACATTCCTTGGAAGAAAGTGTTCAATAGATGTTGATTACCATAAAGAAATACTAGAAGGGCCTGGCGCTGTGGCCCGCGCCTGTAATCTCAGCACTTTGGGAGGCCGAGGTGGGTGGATCACCTGAGGTCAGGAGTTCGAGACCAGCCTGGCCAACATGGAGAAACCCTGTTTCTACTAAAAATACGAAAATTAGCGGGCATGGTGGCATGTGCCAGCTACTGCGGGAGCTGAGGCAGGAAAATCGCTTGAACCTGAGAGACGGAGGTTGCAGTGAGCCGAGATCGTACCACTGCACTGCAGCCTGGGCAACACAGCGAGACTCTGTCTCAATTAAAAAAATAATACTAGAAGGATATAGAAAGATACATGCGAACTAACCAAAGTGGTCACCTGTTAGGAAATGGGGTGAGAACAGGATCAGGGCATGCAGCCTGAGGCACTGGGAGTTGCTCTGTTTGTGGCACATCCCAGGAAGCTTTCAGTCAGGCTAGCTGAGGGAGGCTTCAGTTTCCCCATGATTTAGGGAGAGGAGCTGGGAGGGAGGTCCTGGACCCAGGGCCACATGGGAAGAACTAGATAGAGGCTGAGGCTAGTGTCTCAGGGCCAAATGCCAAGTCAGGGTGGGCTCTGTATGTCCTCCCGTCTGACCACAGTGTCACCTGAGCAGGGAGGTGGGGCCTAGAGCTCATGACCCAAGCCAGTCAACAACTACTGAGGCAGGGGAACCCGGCTCTTCAACCAGAAGAGTAGGCTGGGGCAGGGAGATGGGAATAAGACTTTTTAATATATTACTTTTTATATAAGTTTAGATTTCCGAACCGTATGAATGTATTACCTATTCAAAATTAAAATGTAAAAATATTGACCATTATTATTATTTTTTTAAGATGGAGTTTTGCTCTTGTTGCCCAGGCTGGAGTGCAATGGCACAATCTCAGCTCACCGCAACCTCCGCCTCCTGGGTTCAAGTGATTCTCCTGCCTCAACCTCCGGAGTAGCTGGGATTACAGGCATGTGCCACCACGCCCGGCTAATTTTGTATTTTTAGTGGAGACGGGGTTTCTCCATTTTGGTCAGGCTGGTCTCCAACTCCTGACCTCAGGTAATCCACACATCTCAGCCTCCCAAAGTGCTGGGATTACGGGCGTGAGCCACTGAGCCCAGCTGACTATTATTAAAGTTGGACTTAGGGAAAGACCCTCTCAGCCCCAAACCCCTTGCCATGTCGCCATGGTCACTTCCTCATCTTTCCTTGGATACCCAAGCAGGGAGGAAGATCCTCCTGACAGATGGAAATTCAAAAGGAAGTCGGGTCATGCACATGCCCGACAGCAGCACATGCCCCTCACTGAGCTTTTTCACAGCATGGGGAGGGGAGTGTGGTTTTGGAGAGGCCAAGATGGTGAACAGCTTGGAGGCTATGAAGCACTGGTTGGCAATGCACGGCCATACCTGTTTCCTATGTACTTAAGGACTTTCAGTCTACAAACTTCGTTCTCATGCTTTATCTCATTAGGTTTTCACAACAGACTAGTGAGGTAACTAGCATTATCACACCCATTTTACAAATGATGAAAATGAAGCTCAGAGGTATAAATAACAATCTAGTGTGTTCTGCCCCACCGGGAAGTGTGTGTGGGTGTGTGTGTGTGTATGTGTGTGTGTGCGGCTCAAAGCCTACATATTTAAGCAGTTTGAACTGGTTTGAAAGTGGAGGGCTTGGGAATCCCTGCCTAACATGTGTCTCCTGAACTTTCCAACTGTTCACCCAATCAGATTCCAGCAATAACCAGTCCACCTTGCCATTCAATCCAATCCAAATTCACTAGCAGTCATCCACCACAGTTCAGAGCTAGCCAGGCCATTCCATGCTTCCTACCCAATCAAAATCTAGAACCATCCAAAGATTTATTCTTTCATCCAATCAGTGATCAGCCATAACCAAGCCAGTCATCCTCTCATCCAACTGAGGGTCTTCTAATTCCTTCCAATCCAAAGGAAATAGACACTAATTGTATGTTTTATCCAAACAGAATGTAGCAGCTGCTAGATGAGCCCAGACTCTAAATTGGAGCCCTTTAAACTAAAGGGGAATGTTATACAACAGCCTGAGCAGGACATTTTTCACGGGATGCTAATGCTGGAGTGACCCTTAGAGACTCCCTAGGGACATCCAAGCTCCCAGTCATCAAGCTGAAAGTTAAGGCTCAGCCTGGGATCACACTCTTTTCCTCCCAGGGTCAGAATTGTGTATACATGAGTCAGAGACACTGGGAGCTTCTCTGTGTCTATGAAACATCCCAGTCAGCCTGGTCATAGAGGGCAGACTCCACAGTTTAGGGAGAGGAGCTGGGAGGGAGGTCCCAGCTCTAGGGCCAAATGCCAAATCAGGGTGGGCTCTGGCATGACCCAACAGCTGACCACAGTGCCACCCTGAGCAGGGAGGTGGGGCCTAGAGTTCATGACCCAAGCCAGTCAGTAACCACCCAAGGCAGAGGAACCTGGGGTCTTCAGCCAGGAGAGTAGGCTGCGCAGGAGAGCTATGATAACCACCTAAAAATCTCTAAAGCATTGTTTCTCCCTTTGGTGACCACAAGGGGAATGCTGGGGCCAATAAGTGGAAGGAACAACGATTCAGCCAAGACTACAAAACAGAAAGGCTCAAATGGGGTTGAATGTTGGGGGCAGTGGTAGGCAGCTCCTCATATCTGGAGATGGGCCAGAACCTGACCTCACTCTAACAGCCATGCCTGGGCACTGACTCTGTGTGTATGTTTGGAGTGGGGGGTGTGCACAATAGGAAAAGGCTGCAGGAAATCAGAACTCTTCACTTTCTGACAGACTGTTCAATGCACCATGCACACCAGAGCTCCTTGGGAATGCGGTGGGTGAAAATTCAAAAAGTAGCATCCGCTCAACCCAACCCCAGACCCAAAGCAGGGCACGTGTGTGAGGTGAATGCGTAAGTAGAACACAGTCAAACCTGGACTGTCAGAGACCAAACGGGGCTCCCATACCACCTTCTGTAACCCTTTCACTGCACAGAAGGGGAAACTGAGGCCCAGAGATTGGAAGAGGTTGTCTGAGGTCACACACGAATCAGATGCAGACCTGGGGTTAGAACCCAGTTCTCCTGACCCTCTATGGCAGTTCTTTCCTCCCCACCAGGGGCAAAAACTCCATGCTTTCAGGATCCAGACAGTGAAAACAATGGCAAAAGTGGGAAATGGCCAAGTGTAGGTAATAGAGAGGAGGGAGGGACTGAGGGAACTGGAGAACGAATGCTGGCCAGAGGCATTTCTATTCCACTTGTAAAGAACCCAAACAAACCTGAACCAGAAGAGGTAGTGCATTTTCCCCAAAAATCCTCTACAGTGTTTTTGGCCAAACTCTGAGGGAAGGAAAGAACAAAAGGTGGCTATTTGCACAGGATTCTGGCTCCCTGAGTGCTGTAGAGAGGAAGGCCTCACTTCCAAACCAGCACACGTCTGTACCCATGCAGAACCAGACATACAGCAGATGCAGGCAGCACGCAGGACACAGCCACACTTTCACGCACAGTAATTGAGCAGGCCCACTCCACTTCCCAGGCTAGAATCAGGGAGGAGGAAGGGAACCCTGACCCCTAGCAGCACGGAAGAAAGAAAGAAGCAAGACGGATTTGAGGCAGAGTGTATTGAGAATATGAGAGAAAACAAAGTTGGGGGCAGAGCTCAGCCTGGCCGCAGGAGCTGCAGAATGAAGGGTGGGCTCTTCCATTGATGGCCCTCAAGGGTCGAAGGGAGCAGGGGTCCAGGGCAGGGGCTTCACTCTGTTCTGGGAGGGGCCAGGCCTGAAGGAGCTGAGCTCACTCACAACTCCCCCATGCATACCCCCTTGATTTGTGTGAAATGAGCTCACTAAGAAGGCACCCCTGTTTCCATGGAGACAAGCCCAGAGCTCACAAAAACTGCAGGCTCAGCCCAGCATGGGCACCGCCTCCACCACCCCTTGCCCCACTGGGGAGCCCAGAAATAGGACTGGGAAAGAGAAGTGGGTGGTCCTCGGCCCCCAGCCTTGCGAAGCTTCCATCTGAATCCTGCCACTTATGTCTGTATTCTCTCACCCCCCACAAAGCCTGGTTTGGTCGGGGGCTGTATCATATCACCTCTAAAAGTGTCAGAGGTGACGGGGAGTCTCCAGCTACCTGACTTAACACTCTCACTGTATGAATGTGGAAACTGAGACCTACAGACACACATGCAGTTGGTCTGTTAGAATCCAGGTTTCAAGTCCCAGATTTTCCTCAAAACTCTAAGATCTCCTCTGTCCCTTCCTACTGCACTGCTATGCCTTGCCCTAGGTCCTGCTGGTGCTCCCACTGTCCCCAGGCAATCTTGAGCCTGAGCCAGCCCAGCCCAGCCCAGGCATCCCTTGGCCTCTTGCAGCAGCTCATTCCAACCCTTCCCTCACCAGGTCACCCTCACAGCCATCTAACGCCACCTGTCCTTTGGCAATAGCCCATTTCCTTTCTCTTTCTTCCCAGGGGACTGTCTTGTCACTTACAAGGTCTTCCTTCAAAGAACCAGCCTATCTTCTCAATCCTCACAGATTGTTACAGCTAGAAAAGCCCTCTTTGTATAAATGATAAAACTGAGGCCCAAAGAGAGAACGTGAGTGGGCCAAAGTCACACAGCAAATGGGAGGGTGACATGGGACCAGAACCCTCCTCTCCTGCCTCCCCCTGGGCCCCGTTCCAGTGCACTGAGGTGGCTTCTTTTAGTCAGGCAGATCTTGGTTGAATCTGAAGCCAAAACAGCCAATGGATACATGGCTAGGGGCCACCCTTCCTGTGGCACACCCACATCTGCACAGCCTCCTACAGGGCTCTCCTCCTGGGGATCCCCTGGGACGTCCCCCACCCCTACAGCAGTGACAGCAAGCCAGGAAGAACTGGGGCTGAGGCCTGGGCCCAGTGGTCTCCCTAAAACAGAGCCAGGCCTCGGAGGGGGCAGGAAGAAAAGCGTCAGACAGCAGTGGTGGGCTGAGTCCGCAGCCAGCAGAAGGACCCCAGAGAGGAGCGCAGGCGGAGGCGAGGCAAAGCTCTCTGAAGCAGCGGAGAGGAAACGGTGTCCAGAAGGCAGAGGCAGAAGAGACAGGCCCGTGGAGGTGAGAATCCAGCGATAGGAAGAAAGATGCCAGGAGCTTGAGCCTCAGGAGGGAGGCCCCCACTGGGGCAGCTGAGGAGGCAGACCCTTGGCTGGCTGACTCCACAGGCACTGGCAGGCTCTGTCTGCTCCAGAAGTCCCTGTTAGGATCCCCTTCTAGGCCACTCCTCCAGCAAGACGCTGGCATCAAACGCTGCATCCCTACAGCTCACAAAGGCCAGTGGATGCCCCTCTACCGCATCAGGGCTGCCAGACAGTTCTCTCTCCATGACCCTCCTCCCCACTCAGACACGGAGTCCGACCCCCGTTGTAGTAGGGGAGGGGCAGCTTCAGCTCAGAGAGGGGAGGCGACTCGCCCAAGGTCACAAAGCCAGCTGGTGGCCGCATCTGACCTTGAACCATGGACTCCCCATTCTCCTCACTCAGCTCTGTGCCATTTCCTGCCACGTCTGCTCTCCATCTGGCCCTCAAGGAGGGGAACTTGACCGGCAGTGGGACCCCAGTGGGGTTCGTTACTTGAAGCAGAAGGAAGGCTTCCACACCTGAGCCTCAATCCCGGCGTTCCGGGTAGAGAAGGAGGGCCTGGGGGCCTGCTTGGCTCGGGGAGACCATGCCCTGGAGGGAGACACAGGGGAGATGTCACCGCCGTAGGGAGGGCTCACAGCAGTGGGCTGCAGGCTGTCCTGGCCGGGGGAGGTGTAGAGGCCCGGCGAGGAGCGGGAGGGCCGAGGCAGGGCAGGAGACGGAGGGAGAGCCCCCTTGGGCAGGTTGGGCACCAGGTCCAAGGAGCTGGGCTTGGCAGGCGAGGCAGCTCTTGGCGAGACCTTGGCAGGCTCCTTGATAGGAGAGAGGACAAAGAGCGAGGGCCGCAGCTGGTACGGCGGCTGCTTGGTGGGCTCTGGGCGCAGGACCCCGTTCTCAGGCAGGTAGCCATGGTAGAGGGAGGCAGGCGGGGTCCGGGCTGGGCTTCGGGATGCCACTCGGAAGGCCCCGGGGGCATTAGTGGGGTATTTCCAGGAGGAAGGCAGGGACATGGTAGGTGATGGGCAGCGGGCCAGCTCCGGTGTATGACTTGAAGACTCGATGACATATTTCTCCATCCGTGACTGGCGGCGGGCATAGAGCTCAGCCCCCTTCCCAGAGGCCTCGGAGAGGTTCTGGTTGGGTTTGGGCTTCGGCTTGGCCTGGATGCGGGGTGACTTGAGGCAGGAGGCCCACTCTGGGACCGCCTCCTCTACCGCCGCGGGGCTGGCCCTGTCGCGAGGTGCTGGCTCCTGCTGGAAGTTGGAGGCCTCGGCCCCCAGTGCGAAGGGCTCCTCCTCCACGCCTACCTCCCCCTGGTCCCTCTGCCGCCGCTTCTCGTCCGCTGTCTGTACCAGATCCAGCAGGTCTGGATTCGGGGTCACCTTGGGCTTCTCCACGAAGGTAAACATGGATTTGCGGCTGCCCCGGCGGGCCATCGACTCCTCCAGAATGCCTGTCTTGCTGGCAGGAGCAGCCTGGCCCTTCAGATGAGAAGACTTGGGGTCGGAGCTGGGGTACAGGGCAGAATATGAGGGAGGAGACCTCACCCAGGAAGCCAGAGGGGCTGTGGACAAGGTCTCAGTGTAGGTGGGGGGTGCGGTGAAGTTCCCCAAGGGGCGTCTCTCTGAGGCCGGGCTTCGCTGCCCCATCAGCCTCCTTTCCACCATGGGGCTGTGGGACATTATGTGTCTCTGTGGCCGGGGACTCCTGTCTGGGATACTGGGGGGCTGGGGAGCCGGAGCCTTCTCTCCAAAATGTCGTCTCTCTAGCATGGGGCTCCTCTCCATCTGGCTGGTGCCCCCTGGCGCCTGGATCCCAAAAGGCCTGGCCGTCCTGTTGACCACTGATGGGGGCTTGGCCAGTGTGAAGTGGACCTCACTGTAGACCTTGGTGGGTGTGGTGGCAGCTGCTCGCCCAGACATCTCTTGATCTGCTGACACCACCAGGGTGTTGGGCTGGATGTCAATGAGCAGGGAACTGGACATGAAATCTGAGGCTGGGGGCCTGGAGCTGGGGATGAGCGTAGCTTCTCTGGAGAAGGTGCTGGTGGTGGTAGCTGGAGTTGATACCTTGTCAATTAGGAGGGTGCTGCACCTCACTTCCTCAGCCGGTGCCTGGGGTTGCCCGTCAGCACACAGGGTGCTGGGTTTGGAAGCAGGCACTGTGCCATTGGATGGGAGTTGGGCCTCTGAGGAATTCTGTTGGATGCTAGAGAGTGGCAGGCTCTGTGGAGCGACAGTTGCCGGTGGGTTCTGATTGACATCGGTGGCTGGCGGGTTGTGGCTGCTGTTAGAAACTGGTGTGGTGAGCGTGGCACTGGGCGAGGCAAGGTTTTGGTTGACATCTGCAGCTGGGCTGTGGTCCTCAGCTGGAGGTGGGGCCGGTGAGGACTGCTGGGCCTCTCGGTTTTGGGACAGGTGGAGCCCATTGGCTGTCAGCAGTGCTGCGTTCTCCTTTAGATAAACCACCAGTGGCACCTCTTCCTCCTCACTGGCCACCCTCTCCAGGTGCCGCAGCAAGCTAGCCTCCTCTGAGTACCCCTCCATGCTGTGGCCAGGGACCCCGCTGTCGGGGCTCTGGGGATTGGGGTGCTGTGGAGGGCCTGGCTCTGGCAGCGAGGTGGAACTCAGGCTGAGCCCCGGGGCATGGCCTGGGGGGCTTTCAGGGAGCACTTTGAGGGACTCCTGGCTGGGCTTCTGTCCCCTCTGGCCGTGGCTCTCCAAGGTGAACTCGTTCACCCTCTGCCGGCGCCTGTTGAAGAGTTGGACGCCACGGGAATTGGAGCTGGGAGGGGTGGTCAGCTGGGCTGCAATCTGCTGGCTCCGCGCCTTGGCCTCTTTCAGATCCTTCTCCGTGAGGCTAGTGCTCTGGCCCAACGCTGCGGGGAGGGACAGAAGCCCAGTTAGCAAACAGGAATGCAGTGACACAGGGGTGCACAGACAGACAGGCAGACCGAGATGGTCGCCTCGGCCCTTCCTACACAGGATCTCTTCTTCTGGAATTTAATTGTCACTCGCTGTTTCTTAGAATTAGCTCACTTCGTAATCAGCCCTGACCTACCTTTCATGGCCCAACTCAAATGCCACCGCCTCTACGCCACTCTGATTATCCTCTCAGGATTAACTGGTCCCTGATTTGGATTCCCCCTGACAGTTGCTGATACGGCACTTTACCAAACTGAGTACAAACACCTTACCCTAGAAGTCCCTCCGTGTCCCTGGCTCCTCCCCACCGCCTTCTCCTCTCTCACTAGCCTCTGCCACACTGGCTTGCTTTCTCTTCCTTGAAAATGCCAAGTATGTTCCTGCCCCAGGGCCTTTGGACTTGCTGCTCCCTCTGCTTGGAATAATCTTTTCCCAGGTAGCAGTCCATGCTGGTTCCTTCTTGCCACTCAAGTCTCAGCTGGAATGTCCCCTCTCTGGAGGCACCTTTCCTTCTCCTATCCCAATCTGTTTTGTTTCCTCCATAGCATTCACCAAGTTGAAATGATCTTTATGTTTCCCTCTCTATTATCCATCTCCTCGCCTAGAGCATAGCTCCAAGGGGCGATGACCTTGCCTGACAAGTTTTTTTGTTTTTTTGTTTTTTGGTTTTTTTGAGAAGGAGTTTTGCTCTTGTCACCCAGGCTAGAGTGCCGTGGCGCAATCTCGGCTCACTGCAACCTCCTTCTCCTGGGTTCAAGTGATTCTCCTGCCTCAGCCTCCCAAGTAGCTGGGATTACAGGCATGCGCCACTATGCCCAGCTACTTTTTGTATTTTTAGTAGAAACGGAGGTTCACCATGTTGGCCAGGTTGGTCTCAAAACTCCTGACCTCAGATGATCCACCCGCCTTGGCCTCCCAAAGTGCTGGAATTACAGGCGTGAGCCACCGCACCCAGACACCTGACTTGTTTATCACTGTAACAGCAGCTCCTAGAACAGCACCTGTCATACAGTGGCACTCAGCAGATATTGCTGAATGCACAAATGAACCCCCAGAATATTTTCTGTGTGCCCTCCTTAGGGCCCTTTATACTTTCAGACTTATAGTATAGGAATGTGCTCTAATTTTTTTAAACAAAAATATTTTAATAAACCACTGTCTGGTTTAATTTTTTTAATTTGTATTTATTTATTTTTTTGAGACAGTGTCTCACTCCATCACCCAGGCTGGAGTGCAGTGATGAGATCTCAGCTCATTGCAGCCTCCACGTCCTGGGATCAAGTGATTCTCCTGCCTCAGCTCCCCAAGTAACTGGGACTACAGATGTGTGCCACCATACTCGGCTAATGTTTTTTTTGTAGAGACAGGGTTTCACCATGTTGCTTAGGCTGGTCTCAAACTCAGGTGGGCTCAAGTGATCCGCCCACCTCAGTACCTCGAAGTGCTGGGATTACAGGCATGTGCTTTGATTTTATAAAGAGATGTCACTAATATTTCCCCTTTTTAGAGTAGGTAATACATTCACATGGTCTAAAAATTTATTTATTCATTCATTTTTATTTTATTTTTACTTTTCTGAGACAGGGTCTTGCTCTGTTGCCCAGGCTGGCATGCAGTGGCACCATCATAGCTCACTGCAGCCTCAACCTCCTGGGCTCAAGCCATCCTCCCACCTCGGCCTCCCAAATGGCTGGACTATCATCAGTGTGCACCACCACACTTAGCCAATTTTTTTTTTTGTATTTTTTGTAGAGAAGGGGTCTCGCTATGCTGCCCAGGCTGGTCTCAAACTCCTGGGCCCAAGTGATACTCTGGCCTTGGCTTCCTAAAATGCTGAGATTATAGGCATAAGCCACCATATCTGGCCCTAAAAATTAAAACATAAAAAGATATACAGTAAAAAGTGTCACCCCATCCCCGATTACTCCATATCACAATCAGGTAACCACTGTTTGTGTCATTATTCTATCTCCTCCCAGGATTTCTTCCCATTTTTACTTAAATAATCATTTTAAAATTCACATCCTTTAATACTACAAAAGTAACAAATTGAGCTAGTTTCACCAACAACTACTCTAGAACATTGCATTCTTTTATTTTATCTGCACAAAACCACAATGAGACAAGCATTGCTTGCCTGTGTTTTTCAGAAGAAGAAACGGAGGTTCAGAGATATATAAGGAAATGCCCCAAGGCTGCAAAGCCAAGGGTGACAAAGCTGGAGCCAGAACTGTTCTTTCTGGGGTCTCCAGCCCATGCTCAAGCTGTCTGCTCATCCCAAAAGGTCTCTTTGGGACATAAGGAGCAGGAACAAGGTCATCAGGGGTCAGGGGTCAGTCTGGGACTTGAGGTCCTGAGATCAGGCTGAATTCAGTCCCCTATTAATCTATAAGATCACTATAGGCAACCATTTCTCTTTCTATCCCCAATGCCCAGCTGGCACACAGTTGGTGCTCAATTTATAATTATTGAATAATTAATGAACAAAGGATGCATGAACAAACGCCTTGACAGACAGGTGGATGGATCAGCCCGTGATCAGGGTCAGAAGCAACATCAGTGGCTAAGAAAATTCCTCCCTCCATCACCCCTCTCCTCCCTACTGTGGGAAGCTAATTAGTTCTTGAGGAATCTGACCCTGCCCTCCCCTCCCTTGCCCTCATTAGCACTGGCCATGGCATGCTGAGTCTGTCTCCAGGGACAGTCTTTCTAGGCATCTTGCCAGCGAGGCTCTGAATTCATGGACTCTCAGAGCTGGAAGAATTCTTACAGAGGAGGTATTGCATCACCACCCTGTTTTATAGGTGGGAAACAGAGGTCCAGAGAGTAGCCCAGGGTAGAGCTGGCTGACCCCACATGGGAGCCAGAGGGAGGTCCACACAGAGCAGAGAAGCTGTGACCAGCAGCGTCACAGCAACTCCACTGGGGCCAGGCCAAGCAGCCACAGGTTTTCTGGCCGCAACCTCCTTCTTTCCTCCTCCATCGAACCTGGCTTTCCCCTAACCTATTAGAAACAGTGAAAGCACACAGCCTATCCCACCCACCCATGATACTACTCCCCTCAACAGGACTCCTCTCCTGCCTGGATCACCCTATCTATTAAAGATGTCTATTAGCCAGGCTGTTCCCCTGGGAGGTGCCTAAGGGATGGGGTGCCAGCCACACGGGAGGGCTCTGAGAGGTTGCTCAGCTCATGCAGCATCCGACTCCCCTGCTCTGCTTAGAAACCAGGCGTCCTGGCCTGAATCCAGGCTCTGCCATTTGCTAGCCATGTGACTTTGGCAAGTTACTGTACCTCTCAGAGCCACAGTCTCCTTAACTCGACATGAGTGTTGGGAGGCCACAATGAGATCATGAATGCCAAGGCCTGACTGCCATGAAGCCCAGGTGGGCAGAGGGCTCATGCTCTCCTGGCATAAGCTGGCAATTGGTCACCCCATTCCACTGCCTGGAAAAGGTCAGATACTCTTCTAGCATAGGAGATTCGCTGAAGGTCAAATAGCAGGGGATTCCAGAGCTGTGGGGAAGCAGAGCTTACTGCCCCCAAACACGGAACCTCGGAATCTCAGAGGCGGCTGTCACCAAGTCCAATCCCCACACAATTCTTGCATCTTCAAAACCACACCCTTGAGTGTGCAAGTCTCTGCTGATGTACTCAGGTGGCATGAGCTCACTCCCCCAGGAGGTGCCTTCCACTAATTAACATTCCTCAGTTAGAAAGTTCCTCCTTACATTAACTTCCATCCACTTTTTTTTTTTTTTTTTTCTGAGATAGGATCTTGCTCTGTCGCTCAGGCTGGAGGGCAGTGGCGCCATCATGGTTCACTGTAGCCTCAAACTTCCAGGATCAAGCATTCCTCCCACCTCAGCCTCCTGAGTAACTGGGACTACAGGCATATGCTACCATGCCTGGCTAATTGTTGTATTTTTTGTAGAGACAGTGTTTCACTATGTTGCCCAGGCTGATCTTGAACTCCTGTGCTCAAGTGATCCACCCACCTCAACCTCCCAAAGCACTGGGATTACAGGTGTGAGCCACCATGTCCAGCCTTCATCCACTTTCTTGATGTGGGTCTGCCTCCCCAGGCTGCACAGAAAAAAAAATCTTCTCAGCCGGGTGTGGTGGTTCACATCTGTAATCCCAGCATTTTGAGGGGCCAAGGCAGATGGATAATGAGGTCAGGAGTTCAAGACCAGCCTGGCCAATATGGAGAAGTCCCATCTCTACTAAAAATACAAAAATTAGCTGGGTGTGGTGGCAGAGGCCTGTAATCCCAGCTACTTGGGAGGTGAGGCAGAAGAATCACTTGAACCAGGGAGGCAGAGATTGCGGTGAGCCGAGATCACACCACTGCGCTCCAGCCTGGGCGACAGAGCAACATTCCGTCTCAAAAAAAAAAAAAACAAAAAAAAGTTATCTCATTCATTCCAGCCTGACAGCCCTGCAGAGATTTGCAGATACATCAGATCCCCTTGGGACAGGGTCAGGATAAACATCTGTGGTCCTACCAGTGTTTCTTATGACACAGTTGCAGCAACAGTAGCTAACATTGATTGGTCACTTACTGTATACCTATACACATACTTTACTCATATTATTTAATTTTCAAAACAACCCTACAAGGCACAAACTATTATTATTTATTGATGAGAAATCTACGGCTCAGAGAGGTAGAGTGAGCTGCCCAAGATCACAGAGCCAGAAGGAGTAGAGCTGTGTTCACACCTGGCTCTATGTTACTGCAGAGAGCACTAGGCTCCTGGCTGGCCGGTTCCCATCGTGCGAGGCTCATAGAAAGCACTTCAGTGTTTGATTACTCCAGACCTCTCAATGCCCTTGCATTTTTCTGCTTTTCTCTTTACTGGCTCTAGAAGGCCATGGGTTTAGAAAATCCTCAAATGTCAGAGTGTGCAGGGCCTTTAGAAATAAGCTGGCCTGGGAGGCCCAGCCAAG